GCACAAATGTACGGACGAACGATTCACCCCACGAATCATCATTTTGTACGTGTATATGCTGTGAAAACCACTAACGCTATCTATTGTGCAACTCATCAAGTGGCTACATAATACTAGTACGACTACAGAGGAGGGAACGACCCATGGCCTCAAGAGCTTTGCCTCCAAATGATTTTTGAAGTTCCAAGTTTCCCATTCGCCATTTGGTCATACAGCAGCCGACGCCTCGAAGTTCCCCATTGCCGTTGATGGGAAAATTCAAAAATATATTTTATTCCTTGAAATAGAAATTGTAATGATGAAACTTGTCACATACAAAGAACTGTTTATTTGCTTTCAATTTAGGTAAAAGGTGATTTTTAATTAAACCACCACATGGTGTAAATTGCGTCTCAATATGGACAAAAAATGGCCATTCTGTGAAATAAGTGATCTGTTCTCGTAGAGGTTAACACCTTAAGATGTCTAAACATAATATTTCATCGAAATATATTTTCTGTGAAGTAAGTTGTCACAGCTCAGATATTCATACAAAGTGCAGTATAGCAATGAGAAAATGCAAACATAACACACTTTGGCTAAATTCTTGCAGACGTATGTGGCCGAAAATTTGTATTAATATTGCTAAGTTTCAAACACCTTACATAAGCCCCTTTACTTACGATGTACCAAAATTCCAAAATTGGTATTAAAAAGGTGTGGTACTTGTAAAATATTTTTTTTCACAAACAACACTCAAACAACAGTCTGGAAAGTTTGAAAGGCAACCACGTGACCGAAAACTTTTTTCACTCCGAAATATTCAAGCAGTTCACTGTTGTCAGTGCATTAAATCAGCACAATTTTTTTTTCAAATACATTTGCCATAGCCGCAAAATTGGCTGGGAAATGTCGAATAAAGCGACCCTGTTACCTTCATTAAATGACCATTGCATACTGCTAAATTAGGGCCATTTGTTTCAATCAAGCTGTTAGAGTGAGAAAGCATAACTCCTTCCCGATGCAGCGTAGGCTGTTCAGTGGCAGTGCGTGGTGTGTTCCCAGATAGATATGCTGCCCAGTCTTACATTTTGGCTGCAACACATGCTTAGATACCGTGCAGTAGGGATAACATAAAAGTGTTTTTGTGCAACAAAAAACTAACAATACGCTTCACATAGCGAAAATACCTTTAACACCTGAAGTACTCAGCGAAGTTAAACGCCAAAGCGAGGCGATGGCAATAAAACTCTGAATAACAAGAATATTTTGAAAGTTACACATGCTGAAAACAATCTGAATAAAGTGTGCTCGAACGTTGGCAGTTATGTTCAAACAAGCGTTTGCGCTGTTCAAGTAGGCAATTCCACCACACACACAGACTAAAGGTCTGTTCCAACAAAAGTCCAGCTTCAGTGCTCGATCCGCTACATAGGCACGGCTGTCGGCAGTGTCACGCTACGTTGCGGGTGAACAAAAATACCGGTGAAGACGAATAAGGAAATTGAATGTATTAGCAAGTAGGCAAACTTCGCGAGGCACACCTAACGCGAAATAATACGCTGTGTTGTCACCCGATGCATCAACCCGAGTTATCACGGTAGTGTTACCGCACAAAATGAAAAAAGAACCGAAAAGAACGACATGGACACCACGCCCTTGTTTTCCGTTCTCTGTCTTTTTGTGCAATAATAAAAAAAGAAAGTAAATGAACTACCGACATGCCCAAGCATATGCGTCTTACATACGGTTGATGCTTAGAGCTAACAGGCGCCATCCCCACACATGTATTAATTAGTAAACTAAAATTGATGTACAGCACGAGTGGGCCCCGTTAAAAACGGCTGCAAACAAAGGGCACCGCAAAAATCTGTTCAATTTCTTCGTTGAACCTCAGCGGCGCACGCTCATTCTGCTTTGTACTCCCAACGATCTAAACAAACAAACAAAAAAACTTGCCCACACTCACACTTCGCCATCATCTCCGTGAAACAGTTCGGACAAATATTCTCGCTAAGTAAAGAAATGCTGATTGCTCATGAACTAGTTGAAAACAAAATTGTTTGAAGGCGTTATTTTCGTGCTCACGCAGTTAACAAAGCGCTGCACGGAACAACGTGAGAGCGGTACTCACTATTAAACTTTGAGTGCTCCACAATATGAATCCACAGGTCCATCTTTCAGGATGGTGCACCTTCGCAATAATCAGCACTGACAGAACACACAGGTCGAGCACAGAGCGCAGGCACATTTAAAACTAAACACCGACTAATAAACTCTACCGGTCGAGAAGCCACGCGCACCACACGCACACACACGGGAGGGTTTTTCGCCAGCGTACGCAGTGACATGTAAGACGATGTCGACCCCTTTTCCGCGCTGTGCGCCCGGCGCGCAGCAATACCGGGCAGCCAAGGTTGTCTAGGCGACGATACTTCATGGCGCCTTGTGGCGCTCTCAGACCGGCTAGATGCGGTTCAACACTAGCTCCGGCCCTCTGCTGATAGCGCAGGCGCTGCTTTTTTTTTTTTTTTTTTGCGGCAGTGATCTGTTGCGTTATACTCGTTCGTCAACATTGCATCTGAATCACAGTGAACTTTGTGACGGTGCAGTGCGGCCAGCACGAGCTACTAGTCAAAACGCGCATTTGTAACATTCAGGAGCAATGTTTAGCGCACTTTCACCGACCTAATGTAGTGAATTTTGGCAAAAAAGCTAAGCTGATGCTTTTTGCTTACCTCTATGGGTCTTTAGGGACTGCACATTCAAGGTCACGAAGGCGATATTTTATCAGCACTTTCATTTCGGTACAGACATTGCAACATTGCATGCATCGGCCGTCACACTATTCGATGAGAACATATTGCCACGTGCGTACTGCTAGGAAGACGAAGAAGACAGTGCATACGCGCATCTGCACGCTTTTATGAAGCAAGCAATAACAAGAAAGAAAAGGAACGCTATGGCACGCAGTAAATAAAAGTACTGACGTGCTGCTACATTCTCAACCTGTTAATTACTACTTCTGTCTTCACTTTGCGGCAATACATTTGTACTTAGCTTGCAGTCCTTGGAACAAGACCACGGCTGCAAATATTTCATCAATGTTGTTTCCTCACTACCTAAAACGTCAAGGCTTTGACCAAAGCACGCCTGCTGGGGAAGTTACATAAATTAAAAGAAGTTCCACAAAAAAAAAACGGAGAGAGAGAGAGAACTAGAGAATGCGTTTCGGCTCCCCTGAGGAGAGATTTGTTTGCAATTTAGTCCACAAGGCTCCCGTCATTGTGAGCAAGGCTGCGTCAAGGTCACCGAAATGTCCTTATTCTGCATTTTTCTTTATGGTCAGTGTCCTCTTCCTAATTTCCATGACGCACTCTTAAGGACACATGGGGAGGAAAATTCACTACAGTAATTAAATAAAACGTGCCTGCTAAAAATACATGACGTCAATGTTCGTTTTTACGGGACCTGATGGCCTGCTGAAGTGGTGGTTTTGGCTAAAGAACTGTGCTGTTTTGTTTTTTTGCAGGTGGTGGACCTTTTATCTCCAGCTTTAAAAGCTTCGATCTCAGGGGGAGGGGGGAGTGTTCTATGCATGGCTACACCAATGTGCGCAACATTACCTTGTTCAGGCAAATCAGTGTACTTTTTGAGTGTTGACTAATCCCGCAAATGACACAGATGAATGAAACAGGTACAGGAGAATTGGCCCTTACTCTATTGAACAAGCGTTGCTCCTATTGTATCTTCCATCTTATAGTAGTTAGCGTGCTTTATCGATGAAAACTGCGTTTCGGTCACATTACTTTCTGCTTCGATTCATTACTAGACTCGCATGCAGCTAGTAGTGGGAGCGTTGCTGGTATCAAGATGGTTAACGTATACTAACACTATAAGCAAAACGGCCCGAAAATGTCGTGCATTTGTAGCCTTGTAGGCACATGTCCTCAGATTTGGGTGCACGTTAAAGAACCCCAGGTTGTCGAAATTTCCGGCGCCCTTCACTACAGCGTCTCTCATAATCATATGGTGGTTTGGGTCGTTAAACCCCACATATCAATCAATTATTTGTAGCCTTGTTCATTACACCCCAAATATAAGGGTGTAAATGGGGTCTTTTAAGGGTTTTTTAAGTACGAACACCTAAAATTTTTAAAATCGGGCGTGGAAAGGGTGTTCATATGGGCGATTTTATTGCGTACACCCGCTTTACACCTTTTAGGGTGTGAATTGTTTTAGAGTGTACCACAGCTTGGTCAAGTTGGTAAGATAAAAATTGACAGTGGCCAACTTAGTAGCGTCATCCCACCTATTGGGTCCACTGACTTCTTTGTATGACGACAGCCTCGACATCCTGGTCTTCGGTGCCCGCCAACATCGGGGGGTCTCGCTGGTGAACCGGGCCGGGGCAAGTAGCGGCCGCGAGAGGTACTGTTTGTTTGGCAGCGTCGGCTTGCATGGTCGACGGCAAGGTGCGAGATCGGAGTTCCAGGGTGTAGGCGATGTGGTTACCCAGCATGATCCACCAAACGTAAAGAGGTTTATTGGGCGCACCTGAAGGGTGGGTGGAAGATTCGAGATAGCCAGAGGACGAGGAAGATGGTGGAGCTCAAGCGGCGATCTCATGGTGCCTTTTTCTGCGATGATGCTTTTTGTTTCTTGGTGTTGTCATCATTCCTTCATTATAAATGTAAGAAATACCATGCCACCGTAGTTACTTCTATATCATCATGTTTCGAAATACATTGCTGATATACAGGATTTTCTTGAATTATCAATTATTTACTAAGCTGTCTCAGTATCCCAGCTGGTCGAAATTGTCTGGAAACTTCTACTACAGCCTATCTCATAGCCCGGGTAACTTAAAGACGTTAAACTTGTAAACCAAACCAGAAGGAAAAGCTAAATAAATTCTACTGTAGATCGTTTTAGAAAAATTTCATTTTTCAAATGTGTGATTGATTAGATAAGGGACGTGAATTTTGCACGGTGGAAAATTTCATGCCTAATTATTTTGCAGTGCTCTTGGGAGACTAAGCAGACGTTAGTTATAATCGACAGGATCAGCACGCCAGTAGGTGAGTGACCAGCAGTCCTGTGGCAAACAATCGCATTTGAGTCTTTTTGTGATGCTTGCCCAATTTACAGTTTGCATGGTGGTGTAGCCTCTTGCAAAACCTTGATTGCACGGCTTTATGCGTCCTGCGACTAAGCGTAAAAGACTTCGGAACAAACGCCGAGTGCGACATACTAAAGTAAATGAACACTCAATCAACGTGCTTTGCCTGTCCTACTGTATTTGAATGCAGAGGCTTTAAGCGAGAAAGTGAGAGGTTTGAAATGATGAAGAGTCTCACTCGAATCGAGTGCGTTGCTCATCGAAAGTCTAGTGCCTGAGCCTAGGTGTTTTTATTGTTTTTGTTTCAATAACTGAAATTACTTGATTCTAGCTTTTATTCTCGTGAGTTGGACTTGAAATTTGAAAGTGTTCGTGATGACTAAACTTCACTCCAGGCAATGAGTTTCCTGGCCTCTACCTGAATGCACTGCCACAGAATTGCTTCATTGGTGACGGAAGTACTGTCGTACTTTCCACTTGCTGGCACAGCAAATGGGTAAGTGCCGCAGAAGTGTGTGTCATCACGTACACCATGCGCTATTTTACTTTTTTGCTGGAGCATGTTTTCACCGAATCGCCACGGTCATTAAGCTTAACAAAACATGTTGAGGCTATCTGCTAGTGCACATTTTTTTTTTTTTTTGAAAAATATCCGGCATTAAGCTTTGAACACAAGCACACGCACACACGCATACAAACGCACTTGTATTCAAAGTTTAGCACTGGATGTTTTTCAAAAGAAAAAATATGTTCATAAGTCAACACTTAGTGCAGCATGTGTTTGCAGCATGCAAAATGTTTTTTAGCACTTTCACTGACATGCACCATGATCAGTGTCACACATTCTTGAGTTATATTTGCACAAGTGACTACCCTAGAACGTATGAGGAAACGTGTTCAAATAGTGAGTACATTTGAACCGTGGCATATGATTCAGTTGCCTTTGTACTGGCGAGTCCACACGTCCGAATATGGGAGTCTCGTGCCTCTCCTGACGTGTCACTATATTTTCTTTTCTGTAGGAGGTTATCGGAGTCAACCTCAATTTTGGCACTATCACGAAGCTCAGCAAGGGTAGGTAACTGTGACACCCTTCACTGAATCTTGCCCTACACATTTTCTCTATTGTTCCTGCAATATGAACGCTACATTCTAACATGCACAGATGAAACCGTAGGCTGCTGGCAAGTTCTGACAGTCAAAGAGAACTTCATTGTCGCCTGCATTTCAGCTCTCAATTCAACACCTCATGTGGTGAGTTGCATCATTCTATTACTACAGTTTGTACTCAAACTCTTCATTTTACACATTAAAAAAAAACTATCACGTGTCCCATATGACCATGCTTTGGATTGTAGTGGCATAGCCAGAAGTTTTTTTAAGGGGTCTCCTGCTGGTATGTGTGGCAACCTTACCTTCTTCCATAGTCAGTTTATTTACACTGCGTTTGGCTGTGTTATCGTACTGATCAAATGCAGTTGAGCCGCTTTATAAGAGGCATGTTCTGGGCAGCAGTTCTTGTCTTTTATGAGATGTTTCTTGTAAGCAGGATACTGCGTATGCATTTTCCTATCAACCCGTAGTTTACTTTACGCACGCTTGTGTCTCTTATACCCATTTGTCTCTTATACCTGTGTCACACGGGCGCGCAAAAAGTCTTTTAAGTAAGCGGTCTTTTACGAATTTGAAAGACTTTTAACAAAGAGGTGTTTGCGGCGCAGACACACGGCAGCAACGATCTCCTTTTAGTGTTTTCGTTCGAAGACGCTAGCGAAAGCGTGGCGCTAGCAGTTAAAAGAGAAGCAATGAAAATTAAACGATGTATAACGATGTACAAATTAGACTTCTTGCACTGCTCGTTTCTTCAAATAAATTTAAGAATAAGAGATGAAGAAACGCCAATGTGAAAGTTTTTTGCACTAGATAAGGAAGCATTCCCATAACTAGCGACGTGCACAAGTCTGTCTGGCACCACTGTGCTTTTATTTACCGTATTTATTTTTCGCTGCTCTCGACTGCTCTCGACACGGTATGGGCGACCGTACGGGAGAAAAAGCGAGGATCGCAAGCCTCACGGCCTGCCTTCTCGCTCTGGAAAGCGAGGCAGACGCTGCAAAAACCACCAAGGAGAGGATAAAGCAGCGCAAGACCGAGCGTCACCACGTGATATTGCCAACGCGTTGTAGCTGCTTACGAGAGTAGAAAAGGAAATAACCATTAAAGAGTTCATTACACCTTCTGCGGGATATGAAATTTGTTTTTACAAAGAGTTTTGGTGACAGAAAAATAAGCATTCGCTCCTTTTTTCCCACCACTCGAAAATTGCTGGTGCCCACTGGTTTCGAGGCTACTCATTCGGAGCCGTAAAAGAGATCGACGAACGCCGTTTACGAAAAAGACCGCTTCTGAAAAGGCGGTCGCTCTGTGCCGTGTGTGTGCTGTCAGGAACTCCTTTTCGGTAAAAGACCGCTTACTTAAAAGACTTTTAAGTGCCCGTGTGACAGGGGTATTATTCTTCAACAATTATAATGCCATTTGCAAACAAAAGGAAATGTTTCAGCCAACTAAGATGCGAGGCATATTTGGCGAAGCCTGCTTAATAATCGGCAAGCACGCGTACAAATCAAGTCTTGTGAATTGAGCCCCAGATAAACCGTAAATAAATAAATAAATAAATAATAATTCCGTGCACCTGCATATCGTTCCGTCAGAATAGATAGAGTTCTTGGCAGATAGAGTGATTTGGAACATTCCATCCAACAAGTAAGAAAATAATAATATACGCTGGAGACGTTTTTATTCAATTGTTTTTATAGGCAGAATTAACATAGTACCAGTCACATTTCACATAGTTTCATTGGCTTCAAGGTGAAGAGCACAGCTTCATTTTGTTGAAAATCTCTGCTTGATCAAGCACACGTTAGAGCATGTGCTGCTCATGAAGATTAGAAACGTGCGCGTAGCATCAGCATAAATGGCGGACACCAAAGAACAGCACGTGCATTGGCTGAAAGGACAGAATAGCTCAGAAACAGTGTATTTTTATCTGCAACCGGGTTTGAAGGTGAGCGTGCGGTTTCTTTGTAACACTGGCTTTGCTCTCTATGGCTACTATCGCCACTTTGAGGCCAATTCCCTTCGATGACCCATGGGCAACGTAAGTACTGAGCGTTGCTTCTATGAGCGCTTCGAATTTTTCAAGTACCGGCTTTAACCGTTGCTCGTGTAAATTGGTGAATTAGACACATCGGTGGAGCTTTACGGAAAAATTAGACATAATTTCTAGGTACGGTATGCTTGTAGACTTTCTGAAGGCGTGGTTGCAAGGCGGTCACGTAGAAGTTGGTAGTGACGAACCGAGGTGTGATTCTCCTATGGAACGACTCGTGGCACGTCCCACGCCCCGGCGCGCGGCTCTCCGCGGGAACACACACCCGTATCGTTGCCGCCGCATGGTCACAGTGCCGTTCGTTACGCACACCCGAAATGGTGAAAAGATCTCCAGCGAACCACACTCGATCACAAACACCGCAAAGGTACCCTGCGAACACCTGTAGATATCTTGGCGTTGTATCTGGAAGCGCTCGTCTGGGATGTAACGAACTTGCAAGAGGTCCATTTTCAGCTTCGCGATAGCAAAGACCTTAGCGCGCAATGCGTTCACATGTGGCATCGCTGGCTCAATTTTCTCCAGTAATTTTAGTAAGGTGGCGTTGATCGTACGCCAATTTCTGTTGCGACTGGTTCACTAGCTGAGCTCCCTGCGATGTCACCTGACATCTCGGGAAAGGCACGAATCTCGCTTGTAGATGGCGTGTGGATCCGAGAGATGGCGCGACCACGCCTAACAGGTGGTGTGCTTTATTTTTTTGTTTTTCCCACGATTGTTTTTCTTTGATATTCCCCCTGTTGTACATCAACTTTTTGGACACATTTTTTTATGCACACTACTCATAAATGGACAACGTTGCTATGAAACAAATTATCGTAGCTTCAGGCTACTAGTGCCTAGCTGGAAAGAACAGCGAAGCTGGGTGGCCTTTCTTGTTTCTCTATTTTTTTCTTTGTCTTTTCTCTTTCACTTGCTCTTTGGATGTCTGTTTGTATCATTTTCTCTGTATTTCTTTCTGTCTTTCACTATTGTGTTCCTCTCTTCATTTCTCTTTTCGCCCTTTGTCTCGGACTGCTTCTTTCCGTTCTCTCGGCCTGCTCTCTTTCTTTGCATGCTTTTATTTCTGTTTATTTTTCTTTCCAGCTCATTCCCTGTTTATTCTAGTTTTTTGTGTATGTATGTTTCTATTGTTTTCTCTCTTTCTCTTACATTTTTTTGTTATTCCTCTACTTCTTTCTCTGTCTCTCTGTTTAGTTTTTTTCTATTTCTATCTTGGTCTTTGTTTTTTCAATTTATTTTTCGTGTCTGTTTCCCTCAATGTACTTACTTCTCTTTCTACGTTTTTTTTACCTCTGTGCTCTTTTATGAATTGATCTCCTGAAATCTCTTATCTCTGCCTTCTTTCTTGTTTCTGTTGCTCTTTCTTCCTCTCTTTCTCTATGTCTTCATCCCTTGTTTTTCTCGTGTTCATTTTCGCTCGATATGCGCACCTGCTGTACATGGTAGCCGGGCTCGCCCTATTCCTGTGGAACGTGCTAACCTGAAGAGTTTTCTGGTGCCACCACACAAACTACGGCGAGGTGCCACAACTTTGTTGCTAAAAACCGAGACAATGCACTAGCCCTTCATGTGGCCTAATAATTGCAGGTTGTCTACGGAAATCGTGTCTACCCTGTGGGTAGTTTCAGACTTGTGAAGTTACTGGGAAAAAAGCCCGCTGTCCTGGTCGTACCAAGGTGCTATTGCCGGTATTATCGTCGCAGTCCTGGTGGTTTCCGTCTTCGGTGTTGGATTGGTCCTCTACTGGCGACTCCTGGCCAACAAGACTAAGCCTCTTGTTTACTTTGTTGACTTCGAAAACCGTAACGTCGGCAACCATGCAGTGGATGGTGAAGACTCTCGTAAGTGTGAATAGAACCTGTTTGCATTAAGTATGAATCGCTTGCAGCAGTGCCCTCTCACTTTAGTGGTTCGTGCGGTCGTCGTACGATGTCTCATGCCACAGAAGGTCGTAACGCTCAGTGCCAAGCAGCTCCCAGCATGTCATAGCCGCGTATAGAATTGTAAGGAACGTGGTGAGAATAGGAAGTGATGGTGAGTGACCACAAATGAAGGCTTCCTTTCGGACGCCGATCAGGTGGCACGTTTGCGACACCGGCTCTGGTTTGCCCGCGAACGTCGGCGTTGCCCAAAGGCCGGCCAGCTATACTCGGCGACAGCTTTTCTTTGCACTGAAGGGAAAGCTACGGAGGCGGAGCATCTGCACATGTAGAACTACGCGAAGTAGTCCGTTTTAGCACACGTCTCGTTAAGTTATGGAGAGTAACGGGGCCACACCATCAGCGTTTTTTGTATAAGACGACGCCACTTTAGCGTTTCAGGTGCGCGTAAAAAGGTGAACTTTCTCGTGCCTTCAAGAACGTGAAGTCACAACGAATAAATTAAAGTAAATACGAATATTTTATTGGTGGAAACTGTGTCCTGTCTCAAATAGCTTCACGTAGAAAATATGCTCAGATTTGGGTGCGCGTCAAAGAGCCCCAGGTGGTCGAAATTTCCGGAACCCTTCACTACGGCGTCGCTCATAATCATATGGTGGTTTTGGGACGTTAAACCCCACATATCTATCTACTCACGTAGGAAATAGAGAACTTCTATATTTCAAGGAGAAAATATGCGTGCTGTTGTGGAACTACATTCACTAGTGGTCGCATGCCCGCGTTTTGGGTCTGTATCCTTCGCTCCAATGCCAAGAAAAGTTGTCGCCTAGTATATAGCACCAAACTCCGTCAGTGTACCATTCGGCTCCATCAAGCAATATGCTGGCGTAATAAAGTGAGGTTGCCAGTAAGCAAAGCTACTTTCTTGCTGTCTTTTGCTTCTGCACAAAGAAAATCTTTGACCACGGCAATAACAAGGTGCGAGCCGCCTGCTGACCCCTATCCTGAAAGGAGTCACCAGTACAATGAACTTGCATGTTTAGCTTTGTGTTTAGGCTTTGATGGGTGACCGCGCACGGCACACCAGAGTGCGCAGCTGCCCACCACGGCAACGATTTTCCTCCTCCCTCTACTGGGACAGTTATTCTTCCTCGTACGAATCGCACGATGCAAGACATTCGGGGCGTCTCCTCTCCGCTTGAGTCACCATTGTCGGCTGCTCTCGCACGCCTTCAATCACACTTCAAACATACTACGTGATGGGCCCTCTATTTGAACCTTATATGAAAGTCACGGCGACGGCGAAAATGTGCCTGGAGTGTACATGTAACTGTAATCGCAAAACTATAAAGCGCGTCGGGTGTACTTTACCGTGCACGCTGCACCACCTGCGCATGCTTGCATGGGGTACCATGCTGCAAAATAAATTTAACTTCCAAAAAGTACAACGTATGTGTGCGCAAGTATTCCTGACTATTTCGGTGTTTTACTTGCAAAACAACAATATGCTTGTTATAAGAACAAGAGTGGAATGCTACCCATTATTTTCGACCACGCTCCTGCTGTTTTTAAGTTATCCTTGTTGCGTTTACAGCCATGTTTCGCCTTGCAATGTGCAACACTGGTCACCGACAACCTAACACACAGTCATGGCACTTTTTGGCCACATGTTGCGCTTGTCTCTACCTCTTCGTGGTCTTCCTCGGTACACAAAATCGCACCTTATATTTAAAGTATTTATCACAGATGTTTTTATAAAGTACCTAGAAAAATGGCACACACGTACATATAGCATCTGTGTACTTGTGTTCCCGTTATTTTAACCTATTTTTATAAATCTGTGCTGAACACTTCAAATGAGCCGTACCAACGAGGCTGGAATTCTGCTCTTGCCAAACTTAGGTGCATGCATATTTCGTATTTTGCTCCCATGGAATGGCAGTTGCCACTGCCGTAAGTATTGCTAGTGCACTCCTTCTCATCCGGGTAACAACTCAGCCGCTAAGCTATTGCCATGGTTGGTACAGTAGACATGTGTCATTTCTGTTTTGTGCAATATGACCTATTGCTTACGAAAGCGCGTGAACTAATGAGCAATGCATCGAATTATTTTGCAGCGAGGTACCAGGAGGCAATAGGGAACGTCAATGGACGTGGCGTTGGAGAGACCGCCTTTCAATTGGACGAAGAAACAAAGGCAATTCTGCAGGCTGACAAGCTGCTTTTCAGCAGAGAGCTCGTTGTTCTTGGTCCAGTGGTCGGCCAAGGTAAATTTTCAAATGAACTTGTGACACTTCCCATCTTCGAATGACGTACATGTATTGCTCAGCTTCGATCGATCGCTGAATACGGCACCCACAAGAACCCTACTATAGAGTCTTTCCCAAATGGAAGTGACGCAGTGCAAACCACACGTAGCACTAAATGGGGCCAAATTCTGCACAAATGTTATAAAAGTTTATTTGATTAGGGCACAGATAGCCCCACCGCGGTTTTCTTGTGGCTAAGGTACTCGGCTGCTGAACCGCAGGTCGCGGGATTGAATCCCGGTATCAGCGGCTGCATTTTCGATGGAGGTGAAAGTGCTGTAGGCCCGTGGGCTCAGATTTGGGTGCTCGTTAAAAAACCCCAGGTGGTCTAAATTTGCGGAGCCCTCCACTACGACGTCTTTCGTAATCATGTGATGATGTTGGGACTTTAAAACCCCACATACCAATCAAGGGCACAGATAGGCAACGACAAAGTCAGAATTTCATGTGTGTATGCGTCTCCTCACAGGAAAATGTCCATGAAAAAGGTTTTAGAAGACCTGCTTCGTCATTGCCCTCAGCTCATCATTTGTGGTTATTTCAATGCGCATCGCAATTCGTGTGTGACAGAAATTCGGATGCAGGGGACGTTTTGTGAAAAGGGCTTTCGAAAAGCTAGACCTATCAATCGCGAATAATAGCAACGCAACGTTCCTTAGACCCTCAAGCAATTTACCTAGGTTGCATTCAAGTGTCGTTCAACTTTTGTGTCGTACAGCTCCACACAGTCATTTGCGTTGCCTGTTACCATTTCACGGTAGCCAATTGTAGCAAAGTATCTGATTGGGATTGCTACCGGGAACATATGTATGAATGATCAGGGGACATCTATTTCAGGATATTTCGGGAAAGCAGTTGCAACCGCTACAATTAAGCTACCGGCACATTTTCTAGCCCTGGACTTAAAACTTGAAGTGTCTGTTCTGCTAGAAAGGCTCACACGAAAGAGTGGCGAACGTGCTATGAAGACTCAGTTTAGCAGACTCAATGCAGCAATACAAGGATACACCAAAAAATCTATGGAGGAAGCAATGTAGGCAGAGTTTTGGGAGAATATTTGTGATGGTGGTGGTGGTGGTGGTGCTGATTATGATGTTGCAACAGGCGGCGTTATCCAGGTCTAAATGGCCAACAATCGTTCCGCCTGAGCATATGTTGAATTATACGGGTCTGTCACCAAATGTCACAGCGCCCAGTTTCTTGCAAGAAAGCCACCAGGATGCGTTGCACGCGCCTCCTCGTCGCCGTGAGCCCTTCAGGAAAAATGCCATCTTCAAATGCCATTGTGAAATTTCCCTGTAACGCGCATTTTTCGAAGGGTACCTACTTCACTGTCAAGTATCTGAAGAGTTGTAGTAGGTGTTTCAGGCCCTCCCCAACCTTTTTGAGACCATTTAAAACCCTTCACCTACTCAAGGATATGTCTATGTCGTGTCTAGCCGAGAAATTTGCTGACATTTTTATAATTGGAAGAAAATGTGAGCCACCTTAGTTTCCGCATTATTCTGCGTCTTCCACCGACGCACTGTTTACGTTAAGAAAATGGACATAAACCATAGGCTCTTTCCATCAATGCTGTGCTTCTGGAACAAATGACACTACGAAATAAATGATTTTAAATCAGCCTGCAGAAGAGAGGAGTAGCCTTCTGACGTATTACAACAATGTGTTGATGTAGGGCAACATTCTTCAAATGAGCCTTGTTTATGCCAGGGCTGAAGTCTGTAGAGACAGGACAGATTTATGATATCATATTGACTAATATCACTAACTTCATGCATAGCGAAGCTGACGGAAAATCTTGACAGTGTTCGGCTCTCATGGTCAATCGGAAATTTTTTCAGCATGTATGGCTGGATTGACCACACAATAGCATATTTGAAAGTGAGTAATACACATGGAACAACAACGAGTATAAGGCTTTTCAACGGTGGCAATATTTCTGAACGTTTCAAAAGCATATGACTATATATTGTTGTGGTAAAAAGAACGAGGAAGTTTTTCTCAGATTGGAGGAAGATGACGGGAATTATCTCTGCCTCAGAAACCTATGTGATCACTGTGAATACAACATCTCTGCAACCATGGGTCTGGTTTCTTCTCGTAACATTGGTAGAAGTGCTGGGGTACCAGGACGGAACTTCGCAGCAAACCTCATCTGCCTGACGCCACAAGGGCAAACCAACAGCCAGTGTCTGAGCCAGCAATGATGACAAACCAAACGCCAACTTCCACGCCAGTGGTCTTCCTGACTCGTCCATGCGACCCTGGGCCCTTTTGTGGCACGGATAAGACTGACGTCGAGGAGTGGCTCAAACTGTACGAGAGAGTGAGCGGCAGCTACAGGTGGTACCCGACTGTCATGCTAGCGAACCTGCTCTTTCATCTTAAAGTAACTGCGCGGCAATGGTACGAGACACATGAAGCTGATTTCACGAGCTGAGACGTCTGTGAACATAAAATTCGAGATCTGTTAGGCAGACCGGTCGCTGGTCAGCTGGCCGCAAAGAAAGAACTTTCGGGCCGCGCTCAGACGTTAACAGAGTCGTATGTCATCTACATACAAGATGTGCTATCTCTCTGTCGTAAAGTTGATGACAGCATGACCGAGGCTGACAAGATTGGGCACATTTCGAAAGGTATTGCCGATGATTCCTTCAACCTCCTTATGTGCAGAAATTGAACTACGCTGGATGAAAGATCAAAGAGTGTCGGCGCTTCGAACAGACAAAAAGCCGCCCAGTTGCTCAAGCGTACGACAGATTGCCAAATACCGCTGCGACCTCGTAATGTGAGGATCCACCACGGTTTATCCAACCCACGGCAACTGAAGACACCACGCGCCTTATCTGCCGTGAGCTTGAGTCCATGTCTGCAGCTCCACCTATTCGTTCCGACTTCAGGGACAACTTGCCATCCATCTCCTTGATTCAAACGATCGTTCGGGAAGAAATCGCAAGTTTCGGCATGCCGTAACTCTGATCGGTCCAGCAAACGAACACTTACCAGGTTCCCTCAGCCCTTCGTAGCCAGACGCAGAATTATTTTCTTCCCCGCCGCAATCCAGCTAAGTGGCGCACTGTAGAGATTGTCCAATCTGCTTCAATTGTCCCCGTATTGGACACATTGCCCGTCACTGCCGCAGTCGATTTACGCCACCTCCCCGGTGGTCGTCTTCTAGTCACAACCAACAGCTGCCGGATGGTCTTTCCTTCTCGCCCTACACGCCGAACCAGAGCGCCATCACCGACCATTATAAGCCAAGATCCAGCCGCTCCTCGTCTCCGCAAGGTCGTTGTACCCGTTCACCACTCATGCACCACTCTTCGTCGCCATTCACAATCGGCCACTTCTCTTCAGGAAACTGGGCGGTGCAGCTCCCGCAGATGGCACTGCTACTTCGACCTGGCCTTCAAACCCTCTATTGACCCTGCCTACATGTGGAAACCAACTGGACGTCGAAGTTCGTGGCGTTCATGTGTGATCTCTTGCCGACATGGGGGCCCAGTTGTCGGTAATAAGCGCTGCTCTTCACCTAAGGCTCCGAAAGGTCCTCACACCCACCGCTACGAGTATAGTACTAGTCGCCTATGGTAGCACTGCACCTGTTGTCGTAGTGTGTACAGCCCGTGTGACCGTTGGCAACCGCTATGCTATAGCTTTATTTATTGTACTCGAACAGTGTCCACACACCTCATTCTGGTCATAGACTTTCTTGCATAGCACGCAGCCCAGATTGACTGCTCCGATGGAGTTGTACAGCTTGATCTTCCCTTCCCTGCCGACGCCACAACTTGCGCACCATCCCGTTTATGTTCTGTGGAGTTTGCTCGTCTGTTTCCTCAGGTTGCGACTGCTGTTATCATGAAGCCCTCTTCTCCCATCTCAGACGGCGGCTATGTCGTGTCGCCACTCGTGGACGCGATTCTGACGAGAAGTATTGTCTTGCCAACCACCACAGTCTAAATACAGGAGAATTGGGCTTGCATACCAATCGTCGATTTTGTATTTTCTACGCACGTGCTTCCCCAGGGAATCGCCATGGCGAGTCTCTCTCTCCTGGAAAAAATGTTATATTACTTCTTTAGCTACTGCATCTGTCTTCCATAACAGCACACCTTTGTCGCCGATTGCTTTGTCCTTATCGACTGCGGACAACATTTTTAAGATGATTGCCTCTGACCTTCCTGAGGAACACACAACAGCTCTTCGCCACCTGCTGTCATCGTACCGGAATATCTTTAACTTGAACGAGCGGCCCGTGGGACAGATGTCTGCTGTCACCAATCGAATCAACACTGGTGACGCAAACCCCATTCGTATGAGGCCATATTGCTTCTCCGCTGCAGAAATGACCATCATACAAAAAGATGTGGACAAGATGATCGGCAAGGACATCGTTGAACCATCGAGTAGCACGTGGGCATCCCCAGTGGTTTTGGTTAAAGAAAAAGAACAACTCATGGCGCTTCTGCGTCGATTCCCGTCACCTGAACAGGATATCCAAAAAAGATGTGTACCCACTGCCCCGAATAGATGACGCCCTTGACTGCCTTCACAGATCTAACTATTTTTCTTCAATTGATCTCCGTTCAGGCTAGTGGCAGATCAGCGTTGATGAGAGGGACCACGAAAAAAAAACCGCCTTCGTAATACCAGATGGCTTACACCAGTTCAAAGTCATGTCTTTTGGACAGTGCAACTGCGCCAGTTACATTTGAGCGCATGATGGACTCCCTCTTGCGTGGCTTAAAGTGGTCAACGTGCCTCTGTTACACACGACGAGATCGTGTCTTCGGAGGTTTTCGAAAGTGTACCTGCAGTGCCTCAGAACAATCCTCTCGGTGTTTCGCTCCGCTGGCCTTCAGCTGAAGTCCTCTAAGTGCCACTTCTGTCACCACAAAATCACCATACTCAGACATCGCTTAAGCACAGCAGGTATCCAACCTGACCCAGGA